TTCTTTGATATGGCCAAGGTTAGCAGGCGATGAACAAAGATAAATGTAAAAGTTTCTCTCGGAAAGCTTCTTGGCTAGCTCCAAGAAAGGATGAATATGACTATATGCTAACCATGGAAACATTAGAACCCTCACAACCCTCCTATTTGTGGCATCCATATGGGCTTGGTACTGCTCTTTCTTGATTTTGCCACTAATTAGATGGACAAGAAATAGTAGGAGTGTGGGGATAAGGCTATGGGCCAATGGCACCCTCTTGTTTGTAAATTTTTTGCAGGATGTACATGCATTTAAAGAAGAATTAAATGTACGGACAAAAAATGCTGATTAAATAACAAAGTGAAAAATATTTGTTAATGATCGAGTTTGGATACCAAGTTTTCGTAAAATATTTAACAAATTATGATGATGCATGCAAATCCATATTGAATCTTTTTGATAATGAAATTGTTCGACAAAAAAAGTTTAATCTTCCTCAAAGTCAGATAAAAAAACGAAAGCAAAAGGATATATATATATGTATATATATATATATATATATATATAAAAAAAAAAACTTAGAGATATAAGTATAAGAATTTATATCTTTATTTTTTCCTTAATCAAATATATTTTTATTTTTTTTATATTTGTTTTCTCCTGCCATATTAACCAAATACAATATCGAAGATTGAGATTAAACAAGGTTATGAAAGGATTGGCAAGCTTTAATTACAAGTCCAAATTTCTGGCCCAACTATATTTTTCTTGCTTTCAATTTGTCATAGGATGCTTATTTTTTTATTGATGAAGTATGGTGATCTAAAGTCAGGTGAACACCGTGTTGAGGGGGTCAGTAGCACAAAGCTACTAGTAACTACACCCAGCCATGTTCATTTACTTCGCGTTATTCAGATCCAAAGCTTGACTAGCAGCTGGCTGCAGAATCAAACAAGATGAGATTATTTTGGAGGAGGAGGTCCAGAGCTCTGACTAAAGAGGTATATTTGCTTCCCGGCCACAAAGTTTGACAAGCTCATTTACTACCTCATCCATATCTCCATCTTCTTTGCCTCTTATACTGTCTTTCAATTCTCTGACTTTTCTTCTCACCTGCTCTCCTGTTTCCTCCGCAACCACTTCTCTGACCACTTTTGCAACCTCTTCTTTTCCAAGTTTGCCGTTCTGCTCTCTCTTGATCTCCAAAGCAACACCAACCTCTTGTAAAAGCTTGGCATTACATGGTTGATCAACATGCATAGGCATGGCTATTATTGGAACACCGGTTTTCATGCTTTCTATTATAGAACCCCAGCCACAATGACTCAAAAACCCACCAATGCTAGGATGATCCAAGATTCTCTTCTGGGGAGCCCAGTCTTCAATCAAAAATCCCTTTTCTGCAACCATCTCAACAAGCCCCTCTGGCAAAGCTTCTTCTGCACTTATTTTCTCTCCCTGAGGAAAACTGAGGACCCATATAAAACTTACATTGCTAAGCAGCAATCCATGAGCTAGCTCTTCTCTGTCTTCCTTGGACAAGTAACACTCACTGCCAAAAGAAACAAACAAGACCGAGCATGGGTCTTTCTTGTTGAGCCATTCTATGATTTCTGTTTTCTCATCTTCTTCCTCGCTAAGTTCCTGAACAAGTGGACCCACTAGCACAATCTTCTTCATGGCTAGCACTGAGAGTTCATCTACATATTTTCCCTCTAACTCCCTAAGACTTCTAATCAGCATGAGATTACTGGATCCTTCCAAGCATTGAAGAAGACGATCTTGAAGCGTGAGGTTATCGTTTTCATAATCATATTCATGTGGATAATTAGACCGCAAGGGGAGAGCAGTGCTACCTGATATCTTCACGAGATCAAGCAGAAAACAGTAAGGCATAGCAGCACTAACCATGAACAGAACGGTTGGGATTTTAAGTGATAAAGCCTTTGCAGGAGCCCATGGCTGTAAGAAATCAGAAATGAGCAAGTCCGGCTTTAATGCAGTCAAGATTCCGGAGAAGCTACATCTTGACATATCAAGGGCTTTCATCAAGTTGCTCAAGAGATGTCGGGGCAGACCTTTGGTCGTGTGGTTGTGAGGAGGAAGCTCGGGCAATGATGGAAGATGGAGTTCTACAAATTCTACTGAAGGTTCTTTCTCTTTGATATGTGCAAGATTAGCAGGGGTTGAACAGAGGTAAATGTAGAAGTTACTCTTTGAGAGCTTCTTGGCCAGCTCCAAGAAGGCATGTATGTGACTATAAGCTAACCATGGAAACATTAGAACTCGAATATTGCTCTTACTTGAGGTATCCATCAAGATCAACCTTGCGATCTTTCTTGATTTTGGGCTGGTAGAAGATGAAAGTAAAGTAGAAGAGGAGAGGGGAGTCTTAAAAGGAGCGAAGAATAATCTTAATTTTTCCAACCAAAGTCAAATCATATCATTAAGAGAGAAATGTATAGTTTCTAGCCAAGAATAAACAATGTGCGGATATAAAGTATAAACAATGTAGATGTGTAGAAAAATCTTACTATATTTTTAATGATGGATCATTTCTCTCGGTGCTGAATACCACTTGCAAGTTATTAAACTCATGTTTAATTATAAGTCAGGTAGATTAACTTGAATTAATTTAATTTAATTTAATTAAAAATAACATTTAAAATATATATATATATAAGTTGAAACAATATAGTTTTTTCTAAAGAAAAAAATTAAAATGAGTTTTATTAAATTATAGATTAACTTGTCTAGTAGATTATATTTAAATCAGATTAATTTGCACCATGTTTAATTTAAAATCTAATTCATATTAGATTCGAGTTAATAGATCACTGAATTAACTAAATTAATTCACTAAACTTAGTTTAATAACATGATAGATTTTTTAAACCACCAAATACAAATGTTCAACAAGCACGATGATAGTTAGGGACTATGTAGTCTTTGATGGACATCTGTCCCAAAATAGGACCATCCCAAGCAGGCCAGCACAGAGAGGAGACATTATTCTATCAATTTATTTATTTATATGTAGAAAAATTTCTTTCTAGTAGCTTGACTTTAATTTGAAATATAGAGGTGGGTGTTTGGTTTAGCTGATAGCTATTATGAGTTTTTTATATATATTAAATCTTCAAATTTAAATATATAATTAAAAAGATATTTTTAAAATTATAAAAAAATATTAATCTAGATATAAATTATAAAAAAATCATTTAATTAAAAAAATCATGTATTTCCAGGCTAACCCGTTGACCTATTTTATTAGGGCTCACATGGAGTCTGTCTTGGTAAGCCCCCGTGGCTGGGCTTCTATTTTTATTTTTATTTTTACAATTAAAAAAAATTAAATGATATGTTGTCTCATGTGTGAAGATTTTGGCTATTTTTTTACCCAGAACAAATTCGTTTGGATCCAAAATCAGCGCGCCCCATTCGATCCGGCAAACCAAAAGAGTCCCCAAACTATTTTATTAATTTGTTCATCAGGTCTTCAAACTATTAAAAGTTCCTAGTTATTAATTTCATATATTTTTTTGGAAATTAGATCAATTTATTCTTAACTTGTCTCTAAAAATCTAATTATTTTTAATTTATTTTTATATTTTTTAACATATAGTTCCATCTAAACCGATAGAAATGCACTTGTATGGAAAGTCAAATTTAGCCAACTCTATTAGAAAAAATAATTTTAAAAGGAAGAATTGTGATTTGGTGTTAATCATGGAAGAGCATTTTTTCAATTTGAACAAAAGGGTGTTTTAAAAAAAACCTACTCGTTTAGAAACTGATTAGAAGCCATTATACTTGCAAAGATAAATTAAAGCAATATACGATGAACTAGCTCCTAAGAAATTTAGACAAAAAACCGGTGCTTCCTGTTTTAAATTCGGACGCCTTTATTCAAGATTTTCACAAGTTATTTGTGCACGGGTATAAGTAGGAGTGAGAAAAAAAATTAAAAAATTAATTAAATTGAAAAAATTAAAAAGATAATTGAAAAGGTTAAATCATAAAAAAACTTATTCAAATTTAAATTTATTTTTTTATAAAATAATAAAATAATTAGCTTAATTAAAATCAATCCGTTTAAAAGAAAATATTAATTTTTTTTTTTAATAATAACCAAACTAGATTGAGAATAATCATCCTAGATATATACTACATCCAGTAAACTTGAAAACAAAATAATTTCTTTTAACACTAGAGTATGCAATCAAAAAATCATTTACTTTTATTTTTTATCTTAAATTATTACACCAACTAGACATATCACTGTTTTAAAATCTCAACTGATTTATAATTTGGATGTCTAGGAATTTAGACGGGTTAAATTTTAATAAAAAAATAATGAACTTAATATAATTTGATTAAAAATTATGTTTGATTGATAACTTCATCGACTTATAAAAAATCTACTTAAAACTTATTAATTTATTTTTAAAAAATAATGTGGTTAAATTTTAATAAAAAAAATAATAAACTTAATAGAATTTGATTAAAAATTAAGTTTGATCGGTAACTTCATCGACTTATAAAAAATCTAATTAACTTATTAATTTATTTTTAAAAAATAATGTTAATTTTTTACCTATAAAATAAAAATAAAAAATTAATGATCCAGAATTAACTTGAACCATGATTCGGTACTTGATTTGAATCTACTCTCGGGACATGGAGATGGTTCACACCTTGCTGTTATCTGTCATGATGATCCAATTACCAATAAGATGTCAGCTTGTTGATGGAGGTTCATGGTCCGAAAAAAAGAACAGAGATTAGATCAAATTAGAAATGAACCAAATAAAAGAATTCCGAAGAAAAAACAGAGAACCTGGATCCTCAATGGCATTTTATATTTTATTTTCCATCTCAAATTCCCTTCTTTTTTTTTTTTTTGCGGGTAAACTCGTTATAAAATTAGAGAACTAATAATTTTATTATCCATGGTGTTTATCCAGTGAAATGGTTATTACAGCAATAAAATAAAAGATATAACCATAGGAAAGGATGTCCAAACAAATATATAAGATGGCAATGGTCCCATCATTGCTCAAAATGGTCTCAAAAAAGAAGCTTCTTTGTTCGTTCCCAACATACCCAAATTCTATCTCTCTCCATAGTTTTAGTGAAAGTAAAAGTCTTGATTGCCATTTCAATTCCATGATGATGGAGTTCTAGTTTCTGTCGATTTCCAACAAGGTAGGTCCCGGCATCATCTTCTTTGTGTAAATCACACTCTTAGGTTTGGTTTTAATTTCTTTTATTTTTTGGTTACTTTAAAAGTTTAATTACTAAAATGGAAGTTCATTTTCTATTTCCTTTTTGGCGCAGGAGCTAGTTTTTGCTTTCTGGGTCTTTGGTTTTGGGTTTGTATTGTGAAGATATGAATAATTCTGATCAAGAGAATCAAGATCAGAGGTAAAATCCTTTCTCTCTTTTATTTTTTTTTGCGTGGTTTTGGTCTCGTGAGGTACAAGTTTGTGTTTTTTGTGGTTCTGGGTTATTGGGTTAGTTTTATTTGCTTTTGTTGTGTTTATTCGGTTGGTTTCTGAGCTGATTGTCTTTGAATTGGTAGATTCTTGTGAGTTTTTAGAGTAGATTGTATTGCTTTCCATCTTGTTTTGTCTACGAGAAATTGTGGAAGTTAGGGAATGGGGATTTTGGTAGAATATTCATGCTTGTGTGTGCACATTCATGGCTTTAGTTATGAGCACCGAGGTTTTGATTCATTTGTTTAGGGTGGATTAGATTGCTGATAAAATTGTGCAAAAATTGGAGAACTTTTTTAGCTTGGAGTGATATATTGTTCATTGTTTGTGAAACAAGTTAACTGATCGTTATGCTGCTCATTAGCTTAGTTGATATTGAAGTTAGTGTTTTCCAGAAGAGCGACAGAAACCATAAGGTTTCTTTCTTACCATCTTCACCTCTTTTTAGGCAATTGAAAAGAGAGGGTTTTAGAATTATTTTTTTTAAAAAAATAAAAATACTTTGGATTATTTCTGGTGGAGAGGGATAGAGCATACCTTGCCCATGGGTCAGAGAAGCTATTAGTTTTCGATTGATTAGTTACCAGTCAGCTAAAAACTGTTCTGTAGTTTTGGAAATGGCAGTGGTCAAAATTTTTGCTGTGTATTTGGTTGGAAGTTTACCGATTCTTGCTTGAGTTCTCATTGGCTTACCCTCATCCATCAGGACCCAGTCTAGCATGGAGGATTCCACGGCTATAACTATTGAATTTCTTCGGGCACGGTTGCTAGCTGAAAGATCTGTGTCAAGAACTGCAAGACAGAGAGCTGATGAACTAGCAGAAAGAGTATGCTTTGAATTTATTTTTCCGTACTCTTTTTAGGAGGGGGTGGGTTGGTTTTGGGGACTGTACTCTCTTGTTTCTCCTCTATCACCTATTATAAAGTCTAAACTTGTTTAAGAATTAGGTAGCAGAACTGGAGGAACAGCTAAGGATCGTGTCTCTTCAAAGAATGAAGGCTGAGAAAGCAACAGCAGACGTTCTTGCCATCCTGGACAGCAATGGGATCAGTGACGATTCTGAAATCTTTGGTTCTAACTCTGATCAGGATACTCCTTGTGAATCCAAAGTGGGCAAGAAGACTAAACAAGAAGAGAGCTCTGTCATTTCAAAAGTGACAAAATATAAGTTGGAAGAACATTCAGGTCCTGGCCATGATTTTTCCTCATCACAAGGTAGAAACTTGTCTTGGAAAGGTCGCAAGCATAGTCCACGTTCTCTTGAAAAGTGCAAGGATCCATCTCTGAGGAGACGGAGCAGTTTTGCATCTACTAGTTCTTCCCCTAAACATCACCAAGGCAAGTCGTGCCGCCAAGTAAGAAACAAAGAATCAAGGTTAGTTCATCTCACATCTTCAATTATAGTGTGGAACCATAGATTTAAGCAATTGCCCGGCACTCTTTTTTTGCTAATTTATTCCCCTTTTCTGAGCCCAGGAAAGCAGCTCCAATGTGATGCTCTCGTTCTTGTTGTTTTTTCACTATAAACACAACATAGTTTGTCACATCTAGAATTTGTGTAAAAACTTGGAATCAGGTGTAACAATTACCCTTGGAATCACATATCTCTCTCATGCACTGATAAAGTTCTATTTAACACTCTCTGAATAGAATAATACCATGTAGACACCATTTGCTTAATTGTGATTCGAATCAAAGTTTCCACGTTGCCAGGGAAGAAAAATAAGCAATCACTTTGCCAAGTCATTTTCTACTGCAAGTCCCCTAGGTTGTTCGCTTTTTCTAGTTTTTGCATGCAGATGTAGATAACTATTCATTCTGGGTTCTATGCTGTTTATACAACATAAGTAACTAGTTGTTTCAATTGTCAGATTGACAATTGGAGCATTTAGGACCAATCCAGACAAGGTTGATTCTCCAGAAAATGGAGTTGCTACCACATCAGAAGTTCTTCCAAATTGCTCTGAACCTGAGGTGGGAGGAATTGAAAATGGAGAAGAGAAAACTTTACCCCCAATATCAGTTGGCTTAGAAAATGGACAGCGTGCAGATAGTAATGAGCTGGAAGACAATGTGTATGGCAGTGATAGAGACATGGAAAAAGCACTTGAACATCAAGCACAACTCATTGACAGATACAAAGCAATGGAAAAGGTTCAAAGAGAATGGGAAGAGAAATTCAGAGAAAACAATGGCAGTACACCAGTAAGCTTATCGGAACCTATATAACTAATAAACAATTAAATTGCTTTCAGATCAAGTTGATAACATGCCAATGGCATCTGCACATTTTAAATTTAGTGCTTTCTTTGAGGGGAAAAAAGAGTTTCAATGAATAGGAGCAACTTTAAAATAAGGGACAGCTAATACTCTGAAAGAACCGTTAAGATAATTGCTAGAGTACAATGAATTTTAAGCAAACTGTTGAGTATAATAATCTATGTGCTGCAAATGAGAAATGTGCTTAGAATATTCATGTCTGGACTGATGGAATCTGCCTGTAAAATAGTAACGAAAGAAAGGAAATTTTCCTGATGTACTAGTCAATCTGAACTTCTAAATTCTCTTTTCATTCATCGGAATAGTTAAGAAGCAAGTAACCATGCTGATTGATTATGTAAAAAAAAGTAAAATAGTTTCTTTAATTACTTTTCTCTTACCATGAATTCTATTCCCATAAACATTGAATTTTTTATTTTGTTTCTTGGTCATAATGATTTAGGATTCATATGATGCTGGAAACCGCTCAGATGTCACTGAGGAAGGCTATGAGATCAAGGCACAAGTTCAAAAACACACTGGGACCGTAGCTGCCCAATCCAACAGGGCAAAGTCAGAAGTTGAAAAGGCATCTAACATTCAATCTGATGGCATTCTACCACCTTCACATGTTAATATTGGGCAGTTACAGAAATGGAAGAGCAGTAGTGCACCTACTTGTTACAGAAATGGAAGAGCAGTAGTGCACCCACTGAATCCCCAGCTCAAGATTTTGCATTCCAGGCAGAGAAGCGAAAGCAAAATGAAAATGAAGAGAGTCTTGGGAACAATTACCATCCATCTCCACACAGCTCCCATGACCATCCACAGTCACACAGTTCACATGATTCCCCTGGGAGCCAATCTGCAACCAGCTTTCCATCTAATACAGACAGTGGTTTCAGCAAAGGGCAATTTTCTGGGAGGCAAAATGAACTCTATGCATTGGTGCCACATAGAGCATCGAATGAATTGGGTGGTGTGCTGGATGCCCTTAAACTAGCAAGGCAATCGTTGCAACAGAAAATCAGCACATTACCATTAATAGAAGGTGGATCTATTAGAAACCCTGTTGATCCTTCTCTTTCCCCTCCAATACCAGCCGATAAAGTAGATATTCCCCTTGGAAATGCTGGACTTTTCAGACTTCCATTTGATTCTTTGGTTGAAGGCAGCACTCGAAAAAACCTCGCTATTCCTAATGCTGGATTAAGTTTGAGAAACTATTATCCTGATACAGGAGTTCCAGCAGCTGCCAGCAATCGATTTGTCAGCAGATTTCCTACAGTAACTGGATCGAGATTTCCTTCAGCGGATCAATTTCTGGCCAGTCAATCTTACTCGGCAACTGGATCGAGATTTCCTGCAGAGGATCAATTTCTGGCTAGTCAAGATGTCGAGGCTGGATCAAGAATCTCTAGTCAGGGGCCTTTTTTTAATCCTTATTTGGATACAGTTTCACCTCCTTCAGCCAGATATAGTTATCCCACAAATCCCTCTTATCCCGGCCCGATGCCTCAACTGCCCTCAAGGGAACCCCCTTCCTTCCTTCCCAGTACGACTACTGGTGTCCCTCCTGCAGATCATTTCTCATTCCCTGATTATCATATTAGACCAAACATGTATAGATAATAGCTTGCTATTAAACATTCTACTAGGTTTTCGATGATTAGCTTTACCAACAATGTTTCAGGAACAGCGATTTTGTAGCATAATAGTTAAAATCTTGGTCCTTAAAGGGCAAATTTGTATTACCGCTGTATGATTCAGTGTATCATTTGTTGTGAGATGGAATTTTGTAAAAGAGATTCAACCTGCTTCAATTTTTACTCTTGTTTCCCCCTGCACCATTCTATCATCTATTCATCTCTGCAAGCAGCAATCCATTTTCCTTCATTGTGTTAATGCTGGATGTCCTAGAAACACTTATAATTTAAGTTTTTCTATTTCTTTTTCATCACTAGATATTCAGTAGAGTGGGATCTGATGCTCGGTATGTTCCTCCTGAACAGGGACCTGGACAAATGCATGGAGTATAAGACAAACTGGTGGCTTAGGGCTTGATAACTGTAAACGTGTACACATCTACATGTCCAGCAATCCAGAACTCCAGGACTGATTTTGGACGGGAAAGGGTTTAACATGGCTCCCGTGTAAATCCAGTAGTTTTTGTTGGATTCAAAACAACTTTGCACTGCACCTAACAGTCTGCAGATGGCTCTACGCCCCTCCCTTTTTTTTAATTTCTCCTTTCAACAGAGGCGGTTGCTTGCATGCAATAAAAAAAAGTCCCAGTCATAGGCATGAATCTATACCAGAATTTTGGTATTCAAAAGAAATTTCTCAAAGACTACCTTTGGATAGTACCCTACTTAATTCATCGTCAAAAGTGGTGTTCATAAATCATACCTTTTTTTAATGTCAATGAAACATGGAGTATACCATGATTAATTAAAATATTAAATCGTGTTGACATATGTTGCCCAACCATGGTGAAATGTGTGTAAGATTATGGTGAAACTATTTTCTTACCTTTTATCTTTTAATTTTTTAAATTTTAATTAAAAAATAGAATAGTCTTTGCACACGATCAATTTATCATTTTTAATTTATTTGAGGGTAGCATTGTTTTTATCATTTTTTAATAACAGTGCAGAATAAACAATCAAAATCTTTGATTCAAGGAGTGCATGGTAATTTTAATTTTATCATGAACAATTAAATTACACCATACCTTTAGTTACTATGCAAATTTGTTAGCCTTGGTTTTAAGGGCTTGAATGTCATTTCCTAATAGTTTTTTTTGTTATTGTTATTTAATCTTAGGGATATTTTTTATTTTACACACATAAAAAAAATAGCTGATAATGGTGATTGAAAACAAGTTTTCGTCATATCATTTGATGCATCTCAATGTTTTCTTTTTCTCTAGTTGACATTTGTATAATAGCGAGGTATTATTTGATATCAATTGACTTTTCTTTTCTTTTTTTTCAATTTTTCCTTTTCTTTTTTACTTGGATTGCATGTTAGTTACTCAAAAAATTATATTAACCCTTTAATTATTATTTTTGATTTATTCTTTCTTCTTTTAATTACAATTATTTTATTTATATTGATTGTTTCTAATTGAATATTTAATCTCATCTCTGGTTGTTTGATTTTGTTGGCTTATTTTATTAAATTTGGTTTTCAATATTTGAATTGCTATTTTTTTTTTGTTTTCAATCATTTTCTTGATTTATTTGTTTTTCTTCAATTCCATTATCGAGTATTTCTTTTCATTGAATTTTTATGTCAATTTTGGTGTTAATTCTTTTAATTATTATTTTTTAAATCATTTTTTAATTGATTTTTTTTTAAATTTCATCCCTAAACATTTGATTTTATTTAAATTTTCCCTTAATATTTAATTCTAGTTGTTTTCTATGTTGACTTTAGTCATAATTTTTTTAATTACTATTTGTTTTGTTTTGAATTGTTTTTTTATTGATTTTTGTTCCCTCAACTTCATCCCTCAATATTTATTTGGTTAAGAATCTTGCTTCTTTTTTTTAGATTTTTTTAAATAAAATCACCTTAGTCTTATAACCTAGACTATAAATCTGAAAGATTAGTTCAAGTCGACTTTGGTTTTTTTAAGTATTTTTTTTAAATATTTTTTGCTAGTATTTTTTTCATTTTGTTATTTGAGAGGTCATCTTAATTTCATGTCCTGTGTCATATGTTTTATTTGTTCACTCGAGGTTTTTTTTATCTATTTTTATATATTTACATCATATCAGTAAGTGTCTATTCCTTATATTTTTTTTTTATGTATTCAATCTTTTGTAATATTTTTTATGGTGTGGGTTTATTCATTCATTTTTAATTGTATTTATTGTTTAAGCCATAAGTTTTTAGACTGGATTTATCATTTATTTATTTAAATAAAAAAAATTTATTGAACATAATCAAGTAAATATCTCATCTTAACAATTTTTTTCTTGGTTATTGTTAATGATTTTTTTTATTTACATAAATGATTATTGATTTATTTAGTTAGATAATTGCATAGATTTTTCAAATGATACTTTTAATTTTTCATGTAAGAACATATATTGAAACAGCCTGTATACCTGATATTTTTTTAAAAAATAATAATTATAACTTGCATGCCAAGTTCATGACTTTAATGTTTTTTTCTAGCTTTTCTTTTAAAAAAATATTATTCTTTATTCTTTACGCTTGGTCTATTTATACCATTCTTTTTGTTTATTTTTTTCATTTGTAATTTGTTTTTAATGTTTTTTTTTCTTTACACTTTTTGTTTTTGAAAATTTATTCCTCATAGACTATGTATATGGTATTTCACTATATCAATTACAATATTATTCTATTTTTTTGTTACATTAAAATTTAGCTTGGAATCTTACATATTTTTATTAATTAATACATATAATTTTTATTATATTTTATTATATATAAGCGCCGACATGATTCACAATTATATTTCCTACTTGATATAAAAAAATATATTAATAACACCTACATATTAATTATTTTGAGTTGCAAAAAAAATTATTCAATCTACAACTAAACAAGTTGAATAAATGTAATAATATCTTTTTTTGTATTTATTGACTTAAATAATTTTTATAATTAAAAAATAAAAAACTTGCTTATTTTTTAAAATTTTTTAATAAAAAAATTATCCTGCCAAAAAAAGGGTTGACGTAACTAGTTCAAGCCAAAACACAACTGACTATTTTAATAATCGGATTCCGACGTGGACTGGACAAAAGGGATTGCTAAATCCATTGACCACAGGGATGGGAGCTGCTAAATCCATTGACCAAGACTCCGTACCCAAGCCTAACTTCCAACAGGATCTTACCTCTCCGATAGAATAAGGCGGTGCGTGCAAGTGACCCGTTCTCTGCCCGCCAAAATAAAATAAAATAAAATAAAATCATGAAAGGCCACCAGGACTCCTAACACAGGTGCATCATGTCCGCTTGATGAATCTGACCACAAAAAATTCCTTCACAAGATAAAGTTGACCAGGTATTTTCTCTGGGAATTACTATGGTCAGGATCTGGCTTTCAAAACTTGATTTGTAGTTCGTACGTTTTCACTCCATCTACGATTCTCTGGAGAAGAACAGGAAAGTCAGCACGCGTATCCTAATCTAGCTGACCTAGTCCTAGCTAGCATAATCTGATGACTTTATTCTTGATTGCTGAACAGGTATTTTTCCCTCTTCTATATATACCCCAGCAAGACCTCTCTAGCCATTCACAGATCCATCAAAAACCAAAGCAATCTCTTCCATTAGCTCATCAGCTCCAGAATTACATCTTGCTCGATCTTTTTATCTCAGCGCCTTCTAAGTTCTTACATTAAGATCATGTCTGAGGACAATCTTCGTGACGCTCGTCCTGAACTGGATATTTATCAGTTTGGTTATCCAAGGTGTGATACGGCAGATTCCATGGCATCAAGCTCCAATGATTCTCCTTTTTTAGGCACATATGACGATTTGTCACTGTTGGAAAGTGGTCTGTACGAGCAGAAGTATGGTGATATTAGTGATAAATTCTATAGAAATCAGGACAAGGCATGGGAGTCCATTGATTCAAGGTTCCTCATGTTGCTGGAATTCTTTAGAGAACTGTTCTTTCGAAGAAGGGAAGTTTTCAAGAAATTATTTCCAGAGTTACATGATGAGTTTCTGGGGATGTTCAAGAGAATTGGTAACATCAATTTATACGTAGAGAAACCTGGTGAATTCAAGACTAGGGCATTATGCTTGCAAAGGAGCTTGAGTGTTGGCTCACCAAGAACACCTTCGAGAAATGGAGGTGAATCGCCATTAAGGCTCGAGAGGTTCAAGGTTCGCACGGTGGTTCCTGGCGGCGGTGGCCAAGGTGACAGAGGTGCTTCTAATTAAATCCACATAGACTGGTCCATGATTTGTTGCAAAGCTTGAACCCGAAACAGTATTTTTTTTTTTTTCAACAGCACAGTTCGTTCAAAGATACAGCAATTGTTTTATTCTTTCATTCATTGTTCAATGTAAATGGTCGTAACAATACCGCTATTTGTTTGTGTATTGAGAAATTTCTTTCTATAAGAAGGGTTTTTCTCCTTTCTTTCTACACGCCTACAGTGTTAATCCTTCAGAATTTTTTATTTTATTGATAACGTGGATATTGCACTCATTCTTTTTAGAGAGTCAAATAAACATCACACAATTATGCAGTCAACTCGATACAGATATTAATTAAAATAAAAACCATCAGTTTGGCTGGTGGCTTACGAGCATGCTTGGATTTCATATTAGAATTAGAATGAATGATCCGAGTCAATATAAAATGGCAGTACTTTTCTATTTTAAAAAAAAACATAAAATAAAGTTTGTTTTGAAGATTTTTATTAAAATAAATCAACCTCGATCAATTTTCATCAAATAGTCGATTGATCACCCGTCATATTCACCGGGTTAGACAAAATTAATTCCAAGTTGAATGTTTTCTAAAATCTAATCTAAACCAAGACAGATGAGATTTAATAATTGTGATTACAAAACAAGGGAGGGAATTATTGCACTGTTGCGTATCCGACGGAGATAATCCTTAAATCATGATTTTATAAATTTATATATCATTCAACAAGTCAACTTCAATCATGAAAAATAAAACTTATGAATGTATTGGAATTTAGATTTGAATCATTTACTTAAAATTATACTTTTGAAATACTTGATGTTGATTCATAAAAAAATTCTTACAATGATATGACAAAAGATAATTTTTTTTTTAAAAAAAGTATAAAGTTAACTGTTATCACGATAACAATTCATGGTTTTTTTACTTTTATGATGACCCTTTTTTCTTTAGTTATTGAATTTTTTTAATTTACTATTTATATGATATATTTACGGGAATCTAAAGTTAATAATTTATTTTAATTTATTTTTTATATGATTATTGCGGTATCAAAAAAAATCTGAACATCATGTTGGTATTAGAAAAATATCTCAACATCATCATATAATCTATTTTTAGAAAATTTTAGTTAAATAAAAAATATTTTTTTCAAAAAAAATTAGGTTATTAAACTTTATGAATGAATTACACAGTTTATGAGTTTAGTGAGATAACTCTAGTTACCTTAGTTCACAGGTTTAGCGAGGTATCTTTTTTTTCATTTTCTAATTAAGTGTAAAGATAAGTGACAATTACATAATGCAGTTGAAATCGTGTGTTTTTTTTATTTTAATTATTTTTTTCATTACTTGGATTGTTTTGATGTGTTGATGTAAAAAATAATTATTAAAAATAAAAAATAAATATATTATTTTGATGTATTTCTAAGTAAAAAGTACTTTAAAAAATAATATTTCTAAGTAAAATATACTTTGAAAAATAACCAATACTATATTCTCAAACACCCCTAAAAGGTTTGGGAAACAGTTACCACTATGGATTATATTAGTAACTTTAATCCATGGTGTTATTGGTTTTTTTTTTTGTATTTGACCTTTTTTTTAATTTGATCCTTGTATGATGTGTTTATAAAGATTTAAAGTTGATAATTTATTTTAACTTGTATTTTATATGGTTCTCGCATTAAAAAAAAACTATTTTATATTTTTAACATTCAGTTGGTATCAAAAAAATATTTCAGCATTGCAATATGATTTATTTTTTAAAAAGTTTAGTTAAATAAAAAAAATTAAAAAAATAGATTATTAAATTTTATGAAGTCAATGACTTAATTTGCAAGTTTATATAGCAAGGTAACTCTGGTTGTTCTGATTTGCAGGTTTAGCGGGGTACCTTTTTTTTTTATTTGAACTAAATCAAGTATTCATCTATTTTTCTTTTTATCATGTTATCAAAAAAAATGTTTTTGAAAAAAATTGTTATTAAATTTTAAAAAGCCAATGACCTATTGATGGATTTGTTGAATTTAATTTTTCTCTTTTTTTTATATTTATTTGTTTATTTTATACTTTGATATTGAACTGATTGAGAATTTAATTTTCTAATTTGTTTCATTTTATTTTTTATAATGTTATCATAATATTAAAAAAATATCTTAATATTGGTTTGATGCTCGATTTTATAATTACCTATTTTTATTATCATATAGTTAAACAAATAATAGTTTAGAAGAAAAAATATTATTAATAACAATAGAATCCATTATCCAGTTCAATATGACCCAAGCTACTTAATTCATAGATTTAACGAGTTTACCTATCAAACCTGATATATTTTTTAAGTTTTTAATCTTTTAATTTCTCTAATTATTTTTATTATTATCTCATTTTTATTTAATATTAAACTAGTTGAGAAATGAAATTTATAGCTTATTTTTATTCTATTTTCTATATAATTATTGTAATTTTAAATAAATATTTTTATGGTTAGTAGTTGATTTTAAAGCATCTAATTTTATTATAAAAATAATTTAAAAGAATATTACCACGAAAAATTCCTTCACAAGATAAAGTTGACCAGGTATTTTCTCTGGGAATTACTATGGTCAGGATCTGGCTTTCAAAACTTGATTTGTAGTTCGTACGTTTTCACTCCATCTACGATTCTCTGGAGAAGAACAGGAAAGTCAGCACGCGTATCTTAATCTAGCTGACCCAGTCCTAGCTAGCATAATCTGATGACTTTATCCTTGATTGCTGAACAGGTATTTTTCCCTCTTCTATATATACCCCAGCAAGACCTCTCTAGCCATACGGTGGTTCCTGGCGGCTGTGGCCAAGGTGACAGAGGTGCTTCTAATTAAATCCACATAGACTGGTCCATGATTTGTTGCAAAGCTTGAACCCAAAACAGTATTTTTTTTTTTTTCAACAGAACAGTTCGTTCAAAGATACAGCAATTGTTTTATTCTTTCATTCATTGTTCAATGTAAATGGTGGTAACAATACCGCTATTTGTTTGTGTATTGAGAAATTTCTTTCTATAAGAAGGGTTTTTCTTTCTTTCTTTCTACACGCCTACAGTGTTAATCCTTCAGAATTTTTTATTTTATTGATAACATGGATATTGCACTCATTCTTTTTAGAGAGTTAAATAAACATCACCCAATTGTGCAGTCAACTCGATACAGATATATATTAATTAAAATAAAAACCATCAGTTTGGCCGGTGGCTTACGAGCATACTTGGATTGCATATCGGAATGAATGATCGAGTCAATATAAAATGGCAATATTTAAAAATAATAATAACATAAAATAAGTTTGTTTTGAAGATTTTTATTAAAATAAATCAATCTTGATTTTCATCAAATTGTCGATTGACCTTATTAAACAAAATTAATTTCAAGTTGAATTTCTTTAAAATCTAATCTAAACCGATCCACATCAGATTTAATAATTGTGATTACAAAACGACGGAGGGAAATGGGAATGATTGCACTGTTGCATATCCGAAGGAGATAATGCTTAAATCATGATTTTATAAATTTATACATATAATTCAATAAGTCAATTTCAATCTATATATCGTGAAAAATAAATCTTATGAATGTATTGGAATTCAGATTTGAATCATGTACTTAAAATTATACTTTTGAAATACATGATGTCGATTCTTAATGAAAATCTTCGGATGATATAATACAAAAGCTAAATTAATTTTTTAAAGAAAAGTATAAAGCTAATTGTGGATTAAGAGAATAATTCACAAAGTTTTTTTTTTGTTATTTTGAACATTTTTTTTGTTATTGAATTTTTTTAATTTATTTATTATATGATATGTTTATTGATATTTAGAGTTGATAATTTATTTTAATTTATTTTTTATATAACTATTGCGATATAAAAAAAATCTCAATATCATGTTAATATTATAAAAATATCTCAACATCATGGTATGATTTATGTTTTAAAAATTTTAGTCAAATAAAAAATAATTCAATTTACGAGTTTGCTCTCAATTCGCAAGTTTAGTAGGGTATCTTTTTTTTTTCAATTGAGTGTAAAGCTAAGTAACTATTTGAAAATGTACTTAAGACCGTATTTTTTTATAATTTGATTTTTTTAATTTTTTTTGTTTTTGGATCGTTTTGATATGCTGATGTAAGATATAATTGTTAAAAAATAAAAATAAAACTGTTATTTTATTGTATTTCCAAGCAAAAAACACTTTAAAAAATAACAACTATCACATTCTCAAACACCCATAAAAAGTGTAAGGAAATAGTTACTACTATATATTACAACAGTAATCTACAATGTTATTAGGGTTTTTTTTTTGTATCTTGATATATTTTTTTTAATTTGGTTGTTGATTTTTTTTTTAATTTATTCCTTATATGATGTGTTTATGGAAATTTAGATTGATAATTTATTTTGACTTGTTTTTTATATGGTTATCGCAAAATCAAAAAATTATTGCAGCATCGGGTTAATATCAAAAAAATATTACAACATTATGGTATGGTTTATTTTTAAAAAAAGTTATTTAAAAAAAAATTATTTAAAAAAAAACTAGGATATTAAACGTTATAAAGTCAATGACTTAATTTGCAAGTTTGACGAAGTAATCATGGTTGTCTTAATCATGGTTTACAAGGTACTTTTTATATATAAAAAAAAAAAACTTGACTTGGTCATTTGTTTTTCTTTTTATCATGTAGTTGAAAAAATATTTTTGAAAAAAAAAATTGTTATTGAATTTAAAAAGTTCATGGACATGTGGAAAGGTTTGGTGAGTTTAACTTTTCTCTTATCTTTTATATTTGTTTTTTATTTCATACTTCAATATTAGTTTGATTAAGAATTTAGTTGACTAATTAAGAATTAAGTTTTAAAATTTGTTTTGTTTTACTTTATGTGAAGTTATTATAGTTTTTAGAAAAAGTCTTAATATTGGTTTGATGCTCGATTTTCAGATCATCTATTTTTGTTATTGTATATTAAATAAACAATACTTTAGAAGGAAAAAAACATTAATCATGATAGAATATATTACTTGGTTTAATGTGTAACCCGAATGACTCAATTCACAGGTTTACTTGACGAACCTGATATATTTTTTATTTTATTTTTATTCCTTTAATTTTTCTAATTATTTTTTATTATTATTTCATTTTTATTTGATATTGGACTAGTTGAAAAATGAAATTCATGATTTATTTTTATTTATATTTTCATAGAGTTATCATGATTTTAGATTAATATTTTTTTAGGACTGGTGATTAATTTTGAAAACATCTAATTTTATTATAAAATTAAATAAAAATAATTTGCATGAACAATAAAGTTATTAAACTTATTAAAGTTCATGACTACTTAAGTTATAGGGTGACTAAGATCATTTAAATTATTTTTAAATTATTAAATTAAATGATTTATTTTGCGTCAGCTTCCATGTAATTTATTTTAAAACTAGAGATAGATAAAAAGCTGAGTTATCCAATTTTAAAATTAAATTAATAGATTAAATTTAATAATGCTCATAATTTTTAAAATTTTTATCCATAGTAAAGCACTAGTAATAATTAATTAACGCGGGATACTGCTACGAGCCTTGTATTTAAGGTTGGCAAGCGTGCAAGCAAAAGAACGGACCACCTGTAATAAAGGCCGAGGGCGACAGAGCAAAGGAATAACATGGATGGTCCTGGTCCAAGGATGGTTGGTTTAGCTATGGACCAAAAACAGTGCCTGAAGGCCCAGATAATGTGACACTATCCGGTAAACGTAACTGGTCATCAGCAGTTATTTATAGAAGTTTTTGTTCTTTTTAATTTAATTTTTAATTATAATTTCTCACGTGTTTAGCTTTTTATTTTATTTTTTATTTTTTATTTTTTATTTTTTAATTTTATCCTCAAAAAAATTTTAAATTGTTTTATTTTAATTTCATCTTTCAATCAATTTTTTTATTGTTTTTTTTTTAATTTAACACTCATTCATTTGAATATTTTTCATTTTATTAAAATGATTTTTCAATTATATTAAACCCTCCAATTGAACATTCTAATTCTTTAATTTTTTTTCCCACCCTCTTTTTTTTCTTTCTATATAATTAATTTTTTCTTTAAATATTTAATTTGTTAGGGATTCAACTTTGTATGAACTTAATGTTTTGTATTGTTTTTTTTAGTATTGATTTTATGATCATCATCAAGTTTTTTCTATAAATTTATCCTAATCTCATTTTATGGGTTATTAATTTTATATGCATCTTTTTAGTATAAGTATTTTTAGTTGTTTTGTTTTTATTTTATTCTTTAAGGTATTATTCTAATTCATTTATATTTTTTTATGTAGATGAAGTTTGTTTTTAAAAATAAAAAATATTAGTTTTTAAATTGTATTTTTGGCTTGTTTGGCCTTACATAATACTTTATATGGCTTGAGTTTATCTAGTGAGTTTTGTTTGTATTTATTTCTTAAGTCACGAGTTTATTGGGGTGTTAATTTATATTTTATTTGTTTAAGTAAATAAATTTATGAAATACAATGGAATACATGCCTCGTTTTCAATTAAACTTTGATTTTTTTATGGAAAAAAAACACATTGAAGCAACCTGCACACCTAATATTTTTTTAAAAAAATTATAACCCATGACAACAAAATAAATATATCAATATCATGTGATTGGACCATAAATTACCATGTGTGTTATGGGTACTTGTAGGGATGTCAATTTAATTTGAGTTTAATGAGTATTGACTTGAATTTGTGGGTTTTTTTGTAATTATTTTATTTAATGAATAATAGATATGATATAAATATTATCAAATCCTACCTAAAACTTTAACTAAACCTGACTTTATTTGAATTCAATATTTTCTGTATATGTCTTAATATTAGTATAATGTACATATATTTATAGTAAAAAATAATTTTATTTTTTTAAAAAGTATAAAGTTAATTGTGAATTACGATAACAATTCATGGTTTTTTTACCTTTATGATGACTCTTTTTTCTTTAGTTATTGAATTTTTTTAATTTAGTATTTATATGATATATTTACAGAAGTTTAAAGTTAATAATTTATTTTAATTTATTTTTTATATGATTATCACAGTATCAAAAAAAATCTGAACATCATGTTAGTATTAGAAAAATATCTCAACATCATCATATAATCTATTTTTAGAAAATTTTAGTTACATAAAAAATAATTTAAAAAAAAAACTAGATTATTAAACTTTATGAATGAATTACATAGTTTATGAGTTTAGCGAAATAACTCTAGTTACCTTAGTTCACAGGTTTAGCGAGGTATCTTTTTTTTCATTTTGTAATTAAGTGTAAAGATAAGTGACAATTACATAATGCAGTTGAAATCATGTGTTTTTTTTATTTTAATTTGTTTTTCTGAAAATTATTTTTTTCATTACTTGGATTGTTTTGATGTATTGATGTAAAAAATAATTATTAAAAAATAAAAAATAAATATATTATTTTAATGTATTTCTAAGTAAAATATACTTTGAAAAATAACCAATACTATATTCTCAAACACCCCTAAAAGGTTTGGGAAACAGTTACCACTATGGATTATATTAGTAACTTTAATCCATGGTGTTATTGGTTTTTTTTTTTGTATTTGACCTTTTTTTTAATTTGATCCTTGTATGATGTGTTTATAAAAATTTAAAGTTGATAATTTATTTTAACTTGTATTTTATATGGTTATCACATTATAAAAAAACTATTTTATATTTTTAATATTCAGTTCGTATCAGAAAAATATTTCAGCATTGCAATATGATTTATTTTTTAAAAAGTTTAGTTAAATAAAAAAAATTAAAAAAATAGATTATTAAATTTTATGAAGTCAATGACTTAATTTGCA